CATGACGACAGATTTTGCCGTAGTGCGGGCAGCTGTATCTGCCGCGTCTAGTGGAGTACTGACGTGGGAAGACGTGAAACCCTCTTGTATAACTGCCTTCAGTATCTGGCCTTTGGACTCCGGGAGATGTTCGAGGAGAGGGACCAGTTTGGCATAGTTGTCAAAGCTGTGCTTGGCTAACAAGGCCGAATAGTTCGCCATGCGGAGTGACAACGTGGCAGACGAATAGACTTTTATGCCAAACCGGTCAAACCTCTTAACATCCTTGTCTCCCAAGGAGTTCTTATACTTAGGTGCTTTAGCCCTTTGTTGGGCTGCATCCAACATGAGGGAGTGGGGCCCAGGATGGTTAACCAAGAACTCCAGACTGCTGGCAGGGACAAAATACTTTTTGTCTACCTTTTTGTTGGTGGGCGGGACGGAGGCTGGCGTCTGCCAAATACCATTGGCTATTTCTAAGTTACCCACCTCTAATGGCAGGGCTATTTTTGAGGATTGAGAGGGGTGGAGGTTCCTCAATAAGTGGTGCTGTTTCTGTTGCACTTCTCCCAACTTGATCTTCTGGCTCTCAGCGACCCTTTTGAAAAGCTCTTGAAAATCTTTGAGGTCATCTGTGGGCGAGGTGTTCCCCTGGAACACGGCATCATCAGGGGATAATGATGCCACATCCATCACTTTTAAGATCATTATCGTGGTAAATCTACAAATATAGATGTGTCCTTATTTTCCTTCATAACTTCTTGCGAGGGACTTTATTAAAAGCTCCTTAAAAGTCAGGACGCTGGTACACTCAAGTGTGTATTAGTGGATCTGCATTACGAACACTTGGGATTATACTGATATAATGTGATTCCCAAGTCTAAGGTGCCCGTCCTGTGTTGTTAACTGTCAGGTGCTACAGTGCCCCATGAATTTGGTCAACTCTACCACATGTTATGTCCATGGTACTGCCAGGATCCCTTCTAATTCACTGGCTTGTTGCTTTGATTCTTCTCGCGTTTGTGGACAGAATTTACACGTTTTCCTTTTATCTATTTGCCTATTTTTATTTAAATCCTTTGATGCCCGTTTGCAAAATTTACTTGTTTGATCTTTCCCTGCCCAGCCTCCTGAGCAGCAGCACTGTGCATCCTGTCCTTTATCGTGGATCCCGAAACCTTGATATCACGCCCATCCCCAAAGGATGAATTCTGACCTTATGGAAGGTTCCTCCACACTTGTTAGCTTTCCCCCAGCTCCTACCTTAACTAACCCTCCCAACTCCTATGCTCTGCATGTGCCAATAGTCTCTAATTAAGGCAGAGCCCAGCTTTTCTGTGCAATCTTTCTTGCACCAAAGAGCCCCACCCTCCCTTTCTCATCTCTAGCCACTGCCCCTGGCAGTTCTCTGCACCATCGCTGGTGTGTCACACTGGAACATCCAGAATTTCCATTCACGAGATATTTTCCCTTGGCCACTCCCTGCAATGAGACATGTAAAGGCAGAGTCAGCAGTGGATACTCAGGAGACAGTGAATCATTTACCTTGTCTCTCAGGTTGAGGTGAGTGCTCTGCTCTTGTCACTTAGGGGTAAAGGTTTAATGCCGTATAACCCTCTTGGTCCTCCATTGGCCAGGCCCGTCCCGGCTGTGCATCCTTTTCCACAGGTACTCAGAGGAGGGAACAGAACAGCTACTGACTGACCGCCAGGCTTTGCAGCTCAGGGCTCACCTCCCAAAGCGGTACGGACCCTCCCCATGAGAAACCACAGGAAGAGCAGGCTCTGAACACAAGTGACACCCAACTCTTCCGCCTTCCCCACACACGTCTGAGCCCATCACTGGACCCTGCTAGCGTCTCTCCTGACAGGGCCTAAACTAGGTTTGAAAAGAAAATAAACTGTACAAGTCAACTCTTGATGGGAAGAGGGGTTATGGGGAAGGGGGTAAGTGGGGTTGGGTGGCAGAGAAAGGGAGGGAACTGGCTGGTTGGGGCACAGGTAAGGGAGAAGAGGTGGGGTATAAAGCTGTAGGACAACAGGAGGGAGGGCATGAGGGTGAGTGGCAGGGGGTTGGAGGAGAATAGGGGTGGAGCATCTAGCACCCCCATGTTCTCCCCTCTCATGGGTTGGCCAGGATCTGGAGGGAGCTGTCCCCTCACTTGGGATTATAATGTGACTCCCAAATCTAATGTGTCCTTCCTGTGTTGTTAACTGTCAGGTGCTACAGTGCCCCGTGAATTTGGTCAACTCTACCACTTGTTATGTCCATGGTACTGCCAGGATCCCTTCCAATTCACCAGCATTTGCTTTGATTCTTCTTGCAGACAGACTTTACACATTTTCCTTTTGTCCATTTGCCGATTTTTATTTAAATCCTTTGATGCCCGTGGAACGAGGTGTACTGGTAGTTCGGAATAGGAAGCCTAATCCGAACTACCTACTCCATGCCGTGTGTAGCCGCAGGCACAGAGTCCGAACTAGCCAGCATTTAAAAATGGCGGCGCCTGGCAAGATGCAAATGAAGCCTGAGAAATTCAAATCCCGGGCTTCATTTGCAACTTCAGTTGCCTACATTAACCACCCTAGTTTGAACTAGGGTGGTAGTGTAGACATACCCCCTGACATTTGTTGGGAGACCAATACAGCAGTACACAGACAATCCAGGAAGTTTTTGGAGAATTTCGGGGATAGCTTTTTGGTACAAGTGCTGAAGGAACCGGCCAGGAGCCATGCGCAGCTTGACCTGCTGCTCACAAACAGGGAGGAATGAGTAGGGGAAATAGAGGTGGGTAACAACCTGGGAAGCAGTGATCATGAGATGGTAGATTTCAGGATCCTGACCAAAGGCAGAAAGGAGAGTAGCAAAATACACAGCTTGGACTTCAGAAAAGCAGACTTTGACTCCCTCAGAAAACTGATCGGCAGGATTCACTGGGATGAGGGGGAAAGGCATCCAGGAGAGCTGGCAGTATTTTAAAGAAGCCTTATTGAAGGCACAGGAAGAAACCATCCCGATGTGCAGTAAGAAAAGCAAATATGATAGGTGACCAGATTGGCTTACCAGGGAAATTCTTGATGACCTTGAACACAAAAAGGGAGCGTGCAAGAAATGGGAACTTGGTCAGATGACTAGGGAGAGGTATAAATCTATTGCTCAACAATGCAGGGGAGTTATCAGGAAGGCGAAAGTGCAACTGGAATTGCAGCTTGTGAAGGGTAATAAGAAAGGTTTCTACACTCACGTGAGCAATAAGAGGGTGATAAGAGCGGGTGTGGGGCCCCCACTGCTTGAGGGCAGTAACCTAGTGACAGATGATGTGGGAAAAGCTGAAGGACTCAAAGCTTTCTTTGCCTCTGTCTTCACGGACAAGGTCAACTCCTAGACTAATGCACTAGGCAACACAGTATGGGCATGTTGACCCTAGCTCGTTAATTTGAGCTAGGTAGGCAAAGCAGGTGACCGGATTTGCAAATGAAGCCCAGGATATTTAAATCCCAGGCTTCGTTTGCAAATCCAGTCGCCTGCTTTGCCTACCTAGCTCGAATTAATGAGATAGTGTAGATGTACCCTATAGGAAGGAGGTGGACAGCCCTTGGTGGGGAAAGAACAGGTTAGGAACTATTTAGAAAAGCTAAAATTACACAAATCCATGGGTCCGGATTTAATGCATCCGAGAGTACTGAGGGAGTTGGCCAATGTCATTGCACAACCTTTGCCCATTATCTTTGAAAACTTGTAGAGATTGGGAGAGATCCCGGATGATTGGAAAAAGGCAAATATAGTGCTCATCTTTTAAAAATGGAAGGACAATCCATGGGATTGCAGCCTTACCTCAGTCCCTAGAAAGATCATGGAGGGGATCCTCAAGGAATTCATTTTGAAGCATTTGAAAGAGGGGAAAGTGATCAGGAATAGTCACCATGGATTCACCAAGGGCAAGTGATGCCTGACCAATCAGATTAGCTTCTATGATGCAGTAATTGGTTCCATGGATATGGGAGTCAGTGGATGTGCTATACCTTGACTTTAGCAAAGCTTTTGTTACAGTCTCCCACAGTATTCTTGGTTGTAAGTTAAGGAAATATGGATTGGATAAATGGACGGTAAGATGGATAGAAAACTGGCTAGATTGTCAGGCCCAATGGGAAGTGATCAACAGCTCAATGTCAAGTTGGTGGTCGGTTTCTAGTGGAGTGCCCCAAGGATCGGCTCTAAGGCCAGTTTTGTTCAACGTCTTTATGAATGACCTGGAGGAGGGGATGGATTGCACCCTCAGCAAGTTTGCGGATGACACTAAGATAGGGGGAGAGGTAGATAGGCTGGAGGGCAGGGATAGGGTCCAGAGTGACTTATACAGATTAGAGAATTGGGCCAAAAGAAAACTGAGGAGGTTCAACAAGGACAAGTGCAGAGTCCTGCCCTTGGGACGGAAGAATCCCAAGCATTGGTACAGGCTGGGGACCGACTGGATAAGCAGCAGTTCTGCAGAAAAGGCCCTGGGGGTTACAGTGGATGAGAAGCTGGATATGAGTCAACAGGGCGCCCTTGTAGCCAAGAAGGCTAATGACAAATTAGGTACATTAGGAGGAGCATTGCCAGCAGATCTAGAGATGTCATTATTCCCCTTTATTCAGCTCTGATAAGGCCACATCTGGAGTATTGAGTTCAGTTCTGGACCTCCCACTACAGAAAGGATGTGGACGCATTGGAAAGGGTCCAGTTCAGGGTGACCAAAATAATTAGGGGGCTGGAGCACATGAGGAGAGATTGAGGGTATGTCTACATTTGCACCCTCTTTCGATAGAGGGATGGAAATGTCGTCATTCAAAATTGCAAATGAAGCTGGGATTTAAATATCCCGCACTTCATGTGACAATTCACAGACTGGCACTATTTCGAAATACCTTATTTCAAAAGAAAAAGCGCTGTTTAGACGCGTTTTTTAAAAAAGAAACCCTTTCATTTGAAATAGCGGTTAAACCTCATTTTATTATCTTCTTTTTCTGTCCATTTTCCAGTATTGATCTCAGGAAAACGAAGGAGAAGCTGGTCGTGTCCCAGCTGGTCGAGTATTCAATCGTGGAGCAGCTGAGAACGTAATCCTCCAAGGTCTGTTGAATCATAGACTCAAAGGGCTGAAAGAGACCTCAGGAGGCACCGAGTCCAGCCTGCTGCCCAAAGCAGGACCAATCCCAACTAGATCAACCCAGCCAGGGCTTAGTCAAGCCGAGACTTAAACACCTCTAGGGACAGAGATTCCACCCCTCCCTAAGAAACTCATCCCAGGGCTTCCCCACCCGCCTAGTGAAATAGTTTTTCCTAATATCCAACCTAGACCTCCCCCACTGCAACTTGAGACCATTGCTCCTTGTTCTGCCATCTGCCACCATTGAGAACAGCCTCTTTGGGATGAGCTACAGCCGTTCACTGTGATAAAATTCATTATTCAAATTCAGGATGCATTTTGCTCTGCCGAAATATTGCAAAAGTGCTGAATTCATCGTTTTTCTGGTTGTCTCTGGAATTTTGCTCTTATCACAATGGGATGTCCTGGTATTGTTTCTGCTCTTTTTGGCCAGGTCTCGCTGTCCTGTACAAGTTCTGCATCTTTGGGCAGCACCCCTGACTTTTCCCATCCTTTCTGGCCTGGCCTCCGTGCGTACATACGTGCCTGTCCCAGCTCGAGTCAGACCTACGGGGGTGTGTTCGGGATCCATACTTTGGACAAGGCTGGAACGAGGCCTAGCCCTGTAGACATGGTTTTGGTCAAGGGAGGGTTGACCAGGTTCTCCTACTCCCTTTGCCATATAAGGTAACAAAGTGTTTCCAGCCAGCGTCACAAGAATAACAGGAGACGGTGTATATGGGGTCAGTGCCCTTTCTGTGTTCAAAGTTCACAGTCCGCCCATTTTTCTGAGAGGAGAAAAGGAAACTAAACTCCTCCCCTCTCTGCAGAAACAGCCTTGTCTGCTGCAAGTGCAGGAGTGAACGGACTTGTTCAGTGTGTACAGATTATTTTGAAGATCCCGTGTGCCTGGATTGTGGGCACAATTTCTGCCAAGCCTGCCTCACTTAGCGGTGGCAGGGATTGTGTACAAACTTCCGCTGTCCGGAGTGCAGAGAAACCGTCTCCCAGAAGAACTTCAAACCGAACAGACAGCTGAGGAATATTGTAGAAGCCTCCAGACCCCTGACAATGCAGCCAAAAAAAGAGCCAGAAGTGGTTCCCATGGATGAAGCTGCCGAGGCTTACCAGGTAAGAAACCAGCGGGAATGGCCAGGGATGGGATTTAAATAAAATAATTGAAAGAAACTGGAGCTACGTAGGGCAGTATTAGGGTTGCCTGGTGTCCAGTTTTGAACCGAACAGTCCAGTATTTGAGCTTCCTCTTCGGGAAACAAATTGAGAAAATGAGAAAATATCAATGTCTGGTATTTTCTAAACAAGATGTAACGTAGATTGTGATATAAAGTCAAGTGTGTCCGGTATTTTTGTTGAAACTGTCGGGGACTCATAAAGTCAAGTGTGTCTGGTATTTTTGTTGAAACTGTCGAGGACTCAGACCCAGACGGCTTCAGTTTGTTGTCTGACCGCAAAGAGACAGGCAACACCAGCAAGGTCTAATCACAACGCTCTTTATTGAAGAGTGCACACGATAATGGAGAGCAACCCGTCTCTACTGCAACACCAGCAAGGTCTAATCACAACGCTCTTTATTGAAGAGTGCACACGACAATGGAGAGCAACCCGTCTCTACCGAGAACCAGCCACCGATTTCTATAGCAAGTGGGGTTATATAGACAGTTTCATCGCATCATTGACTATTCACTTAAGCAACCCACCCCCTTGTTAGTTAGAAACTTCTAGCATGGGTGCATACCTTGCCAACTATACGAGGTGGCCTTGACACATCAGCAACTTTCTTATTAAGACAGAAGGCGAGTACCAGCCAACGAGGAGACAGGGAGTTTCCTTATCAGTTCCTTAAGCCAGCTGTTCAGCTCAGCTGTTCGCTTATCTCATGCCCTTGCTGAACTCATGTCTCAAATTTTATTCGGGGACTACCCAGAACCCTTTGCTGGACTCTTCTCGGTCTGTCTTAGCATAACCGCCCTAGGCCCAATTTTCTGTGACCTAACAAAACCATCTAGCGATGCTAAGAAGTATTCCTAACTGAAATGCAGCGTATGCAATAAACTTAACCAGCTTTACTATTGTAACTTCTTAAAACTTATACTTAACTTCTGGAAGATCCAAACTTCCAAAGAATTCAGGGACCTGGGAGAACTGAGACACAAACTTTTCCAGGGCACAATGAAGGTGGTACTCACACACAACCCACTGTCACTCATTCTGCTTTTCAGATGTTTTTATTTGTTGTACGTGTTGGGAAGAATCACTCCCAAATGGGCGAGTCAGAGATTAGAGTCTGTTATTTTTCTGGGAATGTGTAGATAGATCCAAATGTTTCTGCTACGCTACCTTTGACAGTGTTCAAAAGTGGTTCTGGCTCCAATGGATTAACAGGAATGCGCTGCAAATTAGTTCTCAGTCCTGAAATATTGTCCTCAAGCTAATGTGCTGTTTTATACATTTTGCCCTCTGGGCCACTTTGGAACCCGGTTTTCCAGGCCCTTTTTTGTGTGAAAAATACAGTTCTGGGCCAAAACAGGCCAATCACAATGGGCTCTGAGTCTGTTCCCGGAACTGTTTGTAACAGCGCCTGCTGAGCTTTGCAACAATTTCACTGCTTAGAATCCCCATTCTGGGCCTCTTGGTAAGTGCCGTAACCACAGACTGTGGGATATTGTGATGTGGGACCTCCTCTATCTGCCTTCTCACAGCTGTGCCAATGAGAAGAAAGAGCCATTTAGACCAGACAGAGAGAGAGCACGCAAGCATGAGAATGACCCTCTGGCCAGGCAGCTAGACCACACCCTCAATGTATTGTGTATTTAGTCACCTTGAAAATATAAAAAGAGCAAAATTCCTCCAGAAGCCACCAAAACTAAATAGGGTCTTTTGTTTCTTTGTTAGGACCAAATTCAGAGCTCTATGAAGATTTTGAAGGAGGAAAGAGACAAGATTCAGTCGTTTAAACTGAGCGGGGAAAAGAAAATCGAAGAACTGCTGGTAGGTGCCATTATTACTTAGATGCAAACGTGCACAGGAACATTATCCACACACTGCTTAGAACTGAGTCCGTAAGAACAATAGCGAGAAACAGGTTGCTTCTGTGGAAGACTCTTCCTCATTCATTGTCACTGTAAAAAGCAATTGTTCTCCGAAGTCTTAATAATCCAAATATTTTCACTGATAATGGGAGTGTAATTTTTCAGCCAGAAAACCCGTCATGTACATGAATGGGGCTTAGTCGAAACCAACTTTTTTTTCCATGGGAAAAAGTCATTTGAAACAAAATTTTCCATGTGTCAGTAAACAAACCGAGAGAGAATACGTTTTCAGTGTGTTGACGATGTTCAGGCAGTTCATTAATCCCAACAAAATCTCTCCAAATTTACTGATGCGTGGATTCCATTTTCAAATTTCCCATTAGTTTCTCTTTATGGATTTAATGCTGATGTTCACGAATGAATACAGGCAGTCCCCGGGTTACATGGATCCGACTTACATTGGATCCCTACTTATAAACGGGGTGAGGCAACCCAGCACTAGCTGCTTCCCCCCAGCAGACCAGGGAGACGCGAAGCTAGCGCCCCCCTCAGCAGACCAGGGAGATGCGGAGCGGCTTTTCTCAGCAGACACCTCAGCTTGAGAATAAAGGACTGAGGGAAGTGAGGTGTGGGAGAATAAAACTGAGCTCTAGAGAAATGTTTGGCTAGAGTTTCCCCTACAATATGTACCAGTTCCGACTTACATACAAATTCAACTTAAGAACAAACCTACAGTCCCTATCTTGTACGTAACCCGGGGACTGCCTGTACACATAGCTTCGGTTGATGGATGTTATTGGGTTGGAATGGCTTTTAGCTGCTGTTTCTTCTGATCTAGCCAATTTGAAATGCAGTAACAATGTATTCCCTCCCATCTCTCTGTAGGGAATGAGAAATTGAAACCTACAAGATGAAATTTATCAACTTGCATAAAATCAGCTTCAACCATCAAAAAACTGTTAAACTTCTCATCATTCTACCACAGTTATTTCCTGCACTCTGGTCTGGCAGTCAAAATATTAAAGTGCATTTAAAAAAAGTAGAGTTGTGAGAGGAAATTACAAAATGAAGCAAACATTTTTGCGCCCTTTCAAATTGGAATTTTAATTTTATTGAAACATTTTCAAAATTTCAAGTCATTATTTTATTCACCTTCCTTTTATTTTATTTTATTTTATTTTGCCACCCAACCTCTCCAGGTTTTTGCCTGCTTGCTTGTTAGCAGAAATAATCCCAAAAGGACAAAACCAGCAAGGAATCCGCTGCCACCCAACCTCTCCAGGTTTTTGCCTGTTTGCGTGTTAGCAGAAATAATCCCAGAAGGACAAAACCAGCAAGGACTCTGCTAGCACTTTAAAGACTAGGAGGTTTGGTGCCAGAGAACTCTTTGTTGTTTTTACTGATATAGCCTAGCACGGCCACCTCTCTGAAACAGGACAATTTGTGCAGCTGCTGTAGGTATCCCCTGCCCCAGAGAAGGCTGGTCACTTAGGCCTTCAAAGCCTATTGCAGTCATTGGAAAGATGGCGATTGAGTTGTGTGAGCTCTGCAGCAGGTCCTGAATGATGGTATCACTGCTAGACATTGCCATGAAAAGCTCTGAGTTAGAAATCTGCTCTGATTTCCTTGCTCCTAGGGCATGAGGGGTGGAGAGTGCTCCAGAAACAGCATGAGTACGCCTTCATAAAATAACAGAAGTTACATTCTGGGGGGTTGCAATGACATGTTCCCATCTTCATACCTAAATTTTCATAAAATATCCTATTAATCACTCCGTGTTCCTGTCCTGTGCTTCCCCCGCTCATACTGTGTGATTTCAGAAACAGCTAGAAACTGAGAAGGAGAAAATTGTGTCTGAGTTTGAGCAACCGACCAAGTTTCTGAAGGAACAAGAGCAACTCCTGGTGGCCCCGCTGGAAGAGCTGAAGAAGGAAATTGAAAAGAGGTGGGATGAGTATGTGGCCAAACTCTCTGAGGAGCTGTCTTCGTTCAATTCTCTGATCAGTGAGATGGAGCAGAAGTGCCAGCAGCCAGCGATAGAATTCCTGCAGGTGAGACGGTGTTAGAAACACTCCAGAACCTTTCTAAGGGAAAGGAAGTCTCCTAATTCTTCACTTTTGGCGAGCAATGGTAAAAGTTTAGAACACAGAGTATTGCTAAAATATAGATTATTTTTTTCATAAGGGCTTGATAAAAAGCCAATAGTCAGTGGAAATACAGGAACAAGAACGGCTCCTGCTGGCCCGGCTGGAAGAGCTGAACAAGGAAATTGAAAAGAGGCGGGATGAGTATTTGGCCAAAGTATCTGAAGAACTGTCCTCGTTCAGTTCCCTGATCAGTGAGATGGAGCAGAAGTGCCAGCAGCCAGCGATAGAATTCCTGCAGGTGAGACGGTGTTAGAAACACTCCAGAACCTTTCTAAGGGAAAGGAAGTCTCCTAATTCTTCACTTTTGGAGCGCAATGGTGAAAGTTTAGAACACAGAGTATTGCTAAAATATAGATTATTTTTTTCATAAGGGCTTGATAAAAAGCCAATAAAGTCGGTGGAAATATACTTCTTGTGTATAGTGGGCATTAGATCGAGCCCTAAGTGAAAAAAAATCTTTTAAATTCTTAAGGGAGAAGACTCCTCCAAAAATAGCAGACTCCAAGCTCTGTTCTCCCTTTCTCATTAGGCAAAACCAAAGTAAAATGCAACACCAAAGTAAAAATCAATAGAATTAGAAGATAACAAATTCAAATCTGAACCAAGGCACACTTTTCTATACATCCCCAGATTAGACTGTGGAACTCATTGACACAGGATGCTGTTGAGGCCAAATATTTGGCCAAACTAAAAAAGAGATTAGATATTTACATAGATAACAGGAATATCTAGAGTGTTGTTAAATCTCATGCTTCATTGCTTCAGCCAGTCGCAAACTACGAGAGAGCCCAATATCTTACATCCTAGTCAGAAGTATCTAGGACTGTCCATCTTCGGAGACATGATCGTGAGGAGATGGAGCTCATGTATGATATAGTCTGGCATTTCCCATCTTCTAAACACTAGGGCTGTGTCTATATTAGTGCAATCTTGCACCAAAGCGGCCGCTTTTGTGCAAAAACATGATGCCTGTCTACACTGGCGAGGAGTTCTTGCACAAGAACACTGACATTCTAATATGTTAAATCAGTGCTTCTTGTGCAAGACCTATGATGCTCCTGCTCAGGAATAAGCCCTCTTGCGCAACTGTTCTTGCACAAGAGGCCAGTGTAGACAGACAACATGAATTTCTTGTGCGAGAAAGCCCAATGGTTAAAATGGCCATCGGAGCTTTCTTGCACAAGAGAGCGTCTATACTGGCACGGATGCTCTTGCGCAAAAGCACAGCTCTTGCGCAAAGGCACATGCCAGCGTAGATGCTCTCTTGCGCAAATACTTTAATGCAAGAACTCTTGCGTTAAAGAGTATTTGCGCAAGATCATGCCAATGTAGACGTAGCCTAGCAACAAAAGCTTAAAGATGGAACCAGTCTTTAGTTATGGAAATAGCTACAATTGAAGCAAAGTTTCCACTTTATGCCTGATTTGGCCACTCTTCAATATTGGCCTTAAAATTGAAACATGAGCTCTTGGACTGCAGTGATTTTTTTTCAGCCAGAACGGAAGTTAACCAGGGAAGGTGTTCATTGCTTAGGACAGCCTGAATGTGTCAGTAGTTGTTAGAATTCCCAAAGCCTCCTAATTATTTCCATTTTCTGCAAGTGCCTCTAAGTGGCAAACAAGACAGAAGGTGAAAAAGAAAATGTTCCTTATTGGATTTCTCCAGTTGGTATCTTGGGTCAAATTCTTTGTTGTAACTAATATCTGCTGTGAGCAGCATTCTTCTCTCCTCGCGTCCCTTGCGTTGAGCCTGGGTGTAGGATAGCGACTCTGCACCCCAATCCCATTGTTCTCCCTCAGCCCTGACTTCCTGTGGCCACCAAGAAACTCCCAGGATGGGCCTTGAGAATGGTTGAGGGAGAGCGGGGAGAGAGTTTACAGCCTGGGGGCAGCACGGCCGGGGGCAGCCTTCCCTCCTGATCCCCTGCCGTCTGCAGGAGGGGTCGTTCCCAAAGCCGGGAGTGTTCGGGAGATCTTTGTTCCGCACATCACCTGCCTGAGCCCTCTGATTCCATGTGCCCAATGGGGTTACACACCGAGCTAGTGAGCTCCATAGACAGACTCCCTGGGCCCAGATCCTGCACTTGCTGCCCTTTTCCACGGGAGCGAAGGCAACACATTGAATGGGTTTGTTTGTGTTAATAAATAGCAAATAATTTCAATTTCACTGTGAACCCCCAATGGGGAAAACTGAATTTCCTCTTCTCTGTCTCCTCTAGGGCATCAAAGGTGCCTTGCACAGGTAGGTGGCTCCTTCTCTCTCCCCCTTTCACTTCCCCGTGCAGGGAAGGGATTTTAGACCCGCGACGTGGCTCCCCGGGGTCCAGCAGGGCAGAGTGTGGGACTGGCTCCCAGCTGGAGAGTTGGTGTCAACTGGCAACTAGTCACTAAGCAATTGGTGTCTTGTTTCCTATCACACAGTGATCTCTGTGGCTGTGCCTGGCTGACACGCCCTGCTCTAAGGCCTTTGGTGTGTGCTTTGACTAGTAGCACTGTGGTAGTGCCCGAAGGCAGAATGCAAAATCAGGTCCAAACTAAAGATGTTAAGTATCGGGTATTTCACTAATCGAATAGTCGATATATTTTAATATTGACTACTGGACTAATCGATAGGGCAGCACTACCCCTTTGAAACACCCCACCACACACACATTTCAAAGGGGCCGCACTGCACAGCTGACTCCATCCTCCCTGCTCCCTGCCCCTTTGAAGCACCACCACAGCAGTTCAAAGCAGCAGTGTCGCACAGAGGCCGGACTCTCTGTGGTGCTGCCGCTTTGAAACACCTGCTCTTCTGATAGAGGCCATGGGTGCAGGGGAGGGGAGCGACTCGCTGACTTTCCTGTCGACTCTCCAATAAGCATTTGTTGCCTACTCCTTAACATCCCTAGTCCAAAGATGCTGGGTGCTGCACAGACACACAGTAAAAACAGGCCTTGCTCCAATGGATTTACAGTCTAAACAAGAGAGAGGGTAGATGGCGGAAGGATTAAAATCGATGGCAGATTAAAATCGATGGCACTGCACCTAGGAAGGAAAAATCAAACATCCCGCTACGAACAGGGGACTGTTTGGCCAGGCAGCGGCACTGCTGAAAGATCGGAGGGTCGAACTGGATCCCAAATAGCCGGAGTCGGCAGCGCAGAAAAACTTGCCAGCTGTCTACACTGGCCGCTTGAATTTGTGCAAGAACATTGACGATCTTATGTAAGGTTGTCAGTGGTTTTGCACAAATACTATGATGCTCCCGCTTAGGGATAAGCCCTCTTGCGCAAGAGGGCCAGTGTAGACAGGGAAGAACTGTTTTGCGCAAAAAAGCCCCAATGGCGAAAATGGCCATTGGGCCTTTCTTGCCCAAAATCGCGTCTAGACCGGCCAAGGATGCTTTTGCACAAATGCACCCGTACCGATCTAGATGCTCTTTTGCAGAAATGCTTTTAATGCAAAAACTTTTCCGTTAAAAGCATTTCTGCAAAATCATGCCAGTCTAGACGTAGCCTCTAAGTTTTCAATGCCCGGTTTAAAATGGGGCACCAGAACCAGATGGAGTTTTCCAATACTGGTCTCACCAGAATCAAGACGAACCTTACAGTATCCCAGCTGGTAGTGTATCAATTCATGAGGCAATAGAGCATTTAATCCTGCAAGGTCTGCTGAGCTACAACCACCGGCTGTGATAGAATTCACTTTAGTAAAATACAAATTGGAATGAACTCCATCGCAAGTAACACCGGGCTGTTCTTCTTCAGGTGCGAGATGGAAAAGTTTCAGAGCCCTGCGGAGTTTTTTTCTGAACTGAAATGGAAGATCTGGGAAACTTCCCAAAGAAATGCATCCCTGGACGTCATCATGGAAGGCCTCATGAAAACATTCAGAGGTAATTCACTGTCACTTGGAGAATTTTTTCACGTGTATCATACACATATCATGAGCTTTCACGGGCACAACCCACTTCTTTAAGGCTGTGTCTAGACTGGCAAGTTTTTCCGCAAAATCATCTGCTTTTGTGGAAAAACTTGCCAGCTGTCTACACTGGCCGCTTGAATTTCCGGAAAAGCACTGATAATCTCATGTAAAATCATCAGTGCTGTTCCGGAAATACTATGCTGCTCCTGTTCGGGCAAAAGTCTTTTTCCGAAAGACTTTTGCGCAAAAGGGCCAGTGTAGACAGCACAGTGCTGTTTTCCTCAAAAAAGCCCCGATCATAAAAATGGCGATCGGGGCTTTTTTACGGAAAACCGCGTCTAGATTGGTCATGGACGCTTTTCTGCAAAAAGTGCTTTTGCAGAAAAGCATCCTGCTAATGTAGACACGCTTTTCTGAAAATGCTTATAACGGAAAACTTTTCCGTTAAAAGCATTTCTGGAAAATCATGCCAGCGTAGACATAGCCTAAATGTGTAGAGCAAAAGGCATAGACACCCCAAAATTTAAAGCGGAAAAAGAAGGGAGAGGAAAATCCTGTGAATTATAGTGTCGGTGCTAAATGAGATTAATAGCGTGAGCTGTGAGTGTCTGAGCTGGAGACAATGGGAGGCCCGGTCTGTCAGGAAGGCTGAGCCGTCTGCTGAGTGCTACGGCTACGGGGCAGATTGAAGGCTCATCAGTGAAAACGTGTCTGGATGTCGGTCTGCCTGTGAGTTGTGTTTGGCTACCCAGCAATTCAACACCCCGCACTGGTCTGGGTCAGCAGCCTCCGGCTCACGGGGCTCAGACTACTGGAATGTTTAATGCCAGTGTTAATTTTTGGGTTTGGGATGAAGGAGCTTGGGTCTCAGATAGCCCAGGCTTCTGCCACCCACTCCTCCTGCCTCCCACACCTTGACTCCAACTCCTGTATCCCCCAGACCCATAGGTCCCTGCCCTGAGCCCCTCCATAAGAACCCAGGCAACACTGGGAAAGTGTGCAAGAACTTCATTGATTTGTTTGCTTTTCACTTTGCTTTTGTGCTAAAACGTTAACAAGTGACTCTGCTCATACACACGACACTGAATCTTTTCACTCGTTTCTTCCTTTAGACACGCTGGCATCTGGGCAGCAGCTGAACAAAGGTAAATTTCTGGGATCAAAAAGGGGGGTGAAAACTTTCCTATGAAGTATGGTGGCTCATTGGCAGCAACACAGATCAGGTTTTCTGGCCGTTTTGCATTAGGCGGGATCTGAACAGCATATTAGCAGTGGCTACACAGATCTTTCCTAAAACCAGAGAAGTAGATTCTTTTTGGTATTATAAAAAACTTAAACAGCAAATAAAAAAGCGCGTCTAGATTGGCACGGACGCTTTTCCGCAAAAACGCTTTTTGCGGAAAAGCGTCTGTGCCAATCTAGACGCGCTTTTGTGCAAAAAAGCCCCGATCGCCATTTTTGCGATCGGGGCTTTTTTGCGCAAAACAAATATCAGCTATTTACACTGGTCCTTTTGCGCAAAAGCGATTGGCACGGACGCTTTTCCGCAAAAACGCTTTTTGCGGAAAAGCGTCTGTGCCAATCTAGACGCGCTTTTGTGCAAAAAAGCCCCGATCGCCATTTTTGAAATGGGGCTTTTTTGCGCAAAACAAAACAGTCTAGACACAGCCATCAGGTTTTCTTTCTGTTTTGTTTTGACGGGAGCTGAACACTGTATTGGTGGCGGCTACCAAGATCTTTCCTTAAAACAGAGAAGTAGATTCTTTTCTCTGTCATAAGTTAGAATTTTTAAATACGGGTTGGATTAACCCAGGATGCTGGGGCAGAAGAGAGGGGGGAGCAGTGGATCACCAAGGAAATCAAAAAGTATAACAATGAGCTTTTTGGGAAATCTGAGAAGCCATCTCACCTCCTTTGCAGAACTTTTCATGTACGTGCATCACACCCCCGCCCACATTTTTACACTAGCAAATGCACGAGCGGTACAGTCAAGAAGAGGGAAATTCAGCACATGATAATCGACCGTTCTCTTTTATAAGTCATAAGAAAACATGTTAAAAATGTCAAAATGGGTTCGGATTCTCTCTCCCCAGCCGACGTGACTCTGGATCCAGACACGGCCCATCCCGAACTCGTCCTGTCGGAGGATCGGCGACATGTGAAATGGGGACCCAAACTGCAGCAACTCCCCGTCACCCCGGAGAGATTTGACACTGAGCGCTGTGTGCTGGGCCGGGAGGGGTTCACCTCGGGGAGACATTACTGGGAGGTGGAGGCGGAGCCATGGGGAGTCTGGGCTGTGGGGGTGGCCAGGGAGTCTGTGAGCAGGAAGGGAGGGGTTGGCTTTAGCCCTGAGCAGGGGGTCTGGGCTGTGCAGGGCCAAGGGGATCGGTGCTGGGCTCTGACTGCCCCTGGGCAGCTCATCGACTTGCCCGTGAATGGGGCACCCCGCAGGGTCCGGGTGTATCTGGACTATGAAGGGGGGCGTGTGGCACTTTACGATGCTGGTAGCGGGGAATCGATCTTCACGTTCCCGCCGGCCCCTTTCGCCGGGGAGAGAATCCGCCCCTTCTTCCTGTGTGCGGGACACGGGGTTTCCCTTTGCACTCGCCCAGCCTAGCAGCTCTCCCTGTGCTCCTCAGATGCCTCCTTTCCCCCCGCAAAATAGGCTTCTCTCTCCCCCTCCCTCCTCATCTCTCTGACCCTGCTGCGGCTCTCCCTTTAAATGTATTAAGAGCCGCCAGACCCTTAATACATTTAACAAGTAGGCGCTGCGAGAGGGACAGGGAGTGAACTGGGACAGCTGATTCCTGGCTCCTCCTAGCCCTGCTGCGCTTCTGTCTTTTAAATGTATTAACAGCCTGTAGATGCTTCTGGAGATGCACCGAATTAAAACCGAAATGTCCAGCCTCCGTCACATCAGAGTTGTTTTCCTGGGGTACAGCCTGTGTACAAACATAGTCATATTTCTTCTACATGTAACTCATCCTTCTTAATTTTGTAGACATCTCCTTGATTTGCAGCAATCAGTTTCTTGAATCTGAATTCTCTCTCAAGCTGGTTCTTGTTCAAGGGGGATTAATGCATGCTGTCGCTGCTGTGTGTTCATGTTATTAAAGTTGCCTGCAGTAGAATTGTGGGTCTCAATGAAAAGGTCCGTATTGTCTCTGACATGTTTGCAAATCAAAGTCTGAATAGTGGGGCAAACCTCGGAGCTAGTTGAATTCTTTAGTGTAAATCCTGCTCTGTGCCTGTGCCAGGCCTGCTTTTCAGGGGGGCTGAGTTCAATTCGTTATTTATCCATTCACAGCCGAGCGTGTTGCAACGAAGCCCCAACTATTATGATTTATTGCACAATCCCAAACTGTTCTCCAGTGCCAGGAGTCCCAGATATCCTCTGCCCAGCCAGCAAATCCGGCAGCTTCCCCTCGCCAGCCACTTGCCAACCAACAGCCACTTCGCAGGCACTGATCAGTGAAAATCTACCGTTGTCTAATTACACAAACCCGAACAGCCCTGCTCTGAGAGCCAACCCCTGCCCCG